TTGTTTATCTTGTTGGCTGTCACATCCCACACAGACCATCCTACTCTCAATTCAGGGGATTTGTGAAACACTTATTTTCTATGTAGATGCCACGTGTCAGAAAACAAGCGACATTCGTTGTTTGTTGGTCCAAAAGTGACAAATATGTTTAGCCCTGATTTTATATAAGAAAATCAGAAGCGCTCTATCAGGATTCACACACAACAATTCATTATAATAGTGCTATGAACACCAAGAAACTATTTAAAGGACAATACTTAGAGTGGTTGTAAGGTAGCAGCCCCCCCATCCCACCACCCCATCCCCACCTAGTACTTTCCTGAGCCCCATCACAATCCAGTTATGTGCACGAGAGCCTCGGCTCTCTGGGGACTCTCCCTCCTCATTGGCTGAGACAGTAAATCACAGCCAGCAAGCCAATGTGAAAAGAGAGGGGGCGGGGCTGGGCCGTGGCTCTGCTTGTGAATAGACACGCAGAGTAGCGGCTCAGAAAGGAGCCTGTTTGGGTGCCTCCATAGCAAGCTGCTTGCTCTGGGGGCACTAGGCAGGAGGGAGGGGCCAGGACCCATATGGAAAAAAAAATATATTTGAAATATATTTTAAAAATATTCTTCCCAAATATATTGACATATATTTGAAATACTACAATTTTGGCCATATTCAATATACTTCAAAATATATTTCAATATATTATATATACAGTATATATATATATATATATATATATATATTATTACAAAATATATGAAAAATATGAAAAATATTTTTAAAAATACATTTCAAATATACTGTATGTCTTTAAACATACAAGTCTACATTTTTGGAATGCATTTAAAAATATATGTAAAAATATATGTTAAAATTACTTTTTTATATGTTAAAAAAAATCTGAAGAATATATTTTAAAAAAACTAAATTTTTAAAAATATTTTTAATATACTTTGTAATATATATATAATAAAAGCATTTCAACATGCAGTATATATATATATATATATATATATATATATATATATATACAGTATAAAATTGTAGTATTTCAAATATATGTCAATATATTTGTGAAGAATAGTTTTCAATATATTTTTCTTCCAAGTGGTGGACCTGAAAAGAGAAGGATCGGGGCTGCTCTGTGCAAAACCATTACAGAGAGCAGCAGTGGTGTAAACCACCACCTCCCCCAGCATCACTACTCTCTGTCACCACCACTACTCACCACCCCTAGGCAACACAGCAACAAGATCCCCCCAGACGCCAACACCCTCTGCCACCACCAACCATAGCCACCCCACCCTCCCTCGACTGCCACCTCCCTATTCACTAACCTTATCGCTCCAGAATTACAGAAGAGCAGCTGACCATCCCTGAACCCTCCAGCAGCGTGCACCCTCCTCTGTTCCTTGACAGTGACTCACCAGGTCCCTTCTTCCAGGGAGCGTTGCTCCCCCTGAAAGGTGTCACCCCAGGCAAACACCTTTTTCTGTCTCGCGGTAAATACGCTGCTGCAGAGCAGTTAAGCATGGCACATTTGCTATTTTCTAAAAAATGCCTTTAATATGACATTAAACCCATAAAAGTGAGAAAGCAGTGCAACGTCTGGATGCAGGCACTCCAGTCCAGAATTTCTCAACCAGGGTTCCTCCAGAGTTTGCTAGGGGTTCCTTAAACAATGAGCACTTTCTGCATCTCAGATACGTTCCCAGTGACACCATTGATCTTTTTAGCTTTCTGTAATGGGGTAATTCTTCTCAATGACCACAAATGTGAGGAGCATTCTTCCCACCAACCATCACACTAATGTATCATGAGTTGTAGATATAGTAAACTTTAGCAGGGGTTCCCTGAGGCCAGAAAGTTATTCCAAGGGTTCCTCTGGGTCGAAAGGGTTGAGAAAGGCTGCTCTAGTTAGAGTAAAGAATGGCAAGTGTAGCTTTACCTTCAGCAGTTCCCCTTTTCCTTTAAAGCAGAACTAAATCCACTGATACCTACCTCCTCTTCAATGGTCTAATGGCCCCTCATTTGCAGCTTCTCCCCAGCTTCTCCCAAGTACTGGCCTTTGGCCGTCATGGTGCAGGAAGAAGTAAACTCGCAGCTCATTGTACATTGAAGAGAGGACTGAGTGCAGGCAGGTAGGTTTACTTTATTGCAGAAGAAATATAGCATGTCTCTTTTGTAGTAAATAGCCCCCTGCTTTAATTTGACTTTTTTTTCCTCTTTAAGGTAAACATGTCTACCAATACTAGTTTGCCCCTAGGGTTTAACACACAAAACTATATAATCTGGCTGTAGATTGTCGTTAGGAGACCCAAGGTAGAAGACAGTGGATTAACTGTACAGTGATAGGAGAAACAAGATGGAAGGCACTCTGTAGGAGTGAGAGCTGGCAGCTAGTAGGAGTAATCTGTGAACATAGCAAAGGTCAGGGCAGGCTGCAAACAGTAGAGGTATCCGAGTACATATCAAGGTCAGGGCAAGCAACAGGCACAGGATTTATCTGAGAAAGCAGCCAATGTCAGGGCAGGCAATAGGCAGTAGAGGTATCTGAGTACATAGTAAAGGTCAGGGCAGGCAGCAAGCAGTAGAGGTATCCAAGTACATAGCAAAAGTCAGGGCAAGCAGCAGGTAGTAGAGGTATCTGAGAATGTAGCAAAGGCCAGGGCAGGAAGCAGGCAGTAGAGGTATCCAAGAACATAGCAAACATCAGGGAAAGGGGCAGACAGTAGAGGTATCCGAGTACATAGCAAAGGTCAGGGCAAGTAACAGGCAGTAGAGGTGTTTAAGAAGGTAGCAAAGGCCAGGGCAGGCAGCGAACAATAGAGGTATCTAAGAGCGAAGAAAAGTGTAGGTTGCAGACAATAGAGATATCCAGTAACATAGCAAAGGTCAGGACAGGCAGCAAACAGTAGAGATATCCGAGTACATATCAAGCTCAGGATAAGCAACAGGCAGAGGATTTATCTGAGAACTTAGCTAATGTCAGGGCAGGCAGCAGGCAGTAGAGGTATCTGAGTACATAGCTAACGTCAGGACAAGCAGTAGGCAGTAGAGGTATCTGAGTACATAGCTAACGTCGGGGCAAGCAGCAGGCAGTAGAGGTATCTGAGAACATAGCAAAGGCCAGGGCAGGATGCAGGCAGTAGAGGTATCTAAGAACATAGCAAACTTTAGGGCAAGAGGCAGGCAGCAGAGGTATCTGAGAACATAGCAAATGTCAGGGTAGGATGCAGGCAGCAGAGGTATCTGAGAACATAGCAAATGTCAGGGTAGGATGCAGGCAATAGAGGTATCTGAGAACATAGCAAAGGTCAGGGTAGGATGCAGGCAGTAGAGGTATCTGAGAACATAGCAAACTTTAGGGCAAGAGGCAGGCAGTAGAGGTATCTGAGTACATAGCAAAGGTCAGGGCAAGCAGTAGGCAGTACAGGTGTCTGAGACAGTAGCAAAGGCCAGGGCAGGCAGCGAACAGTAGAGGTATCAGAACGTTGAAAAGGGTAGGTTGCAGACAATAGAGGTATCCAGTAACATAGCAAAGGTCAGTACAGGCAGCTGGTAGTAGAGGCATCCAGACATTAACATAACACTGAGATTTACCTATAAGTGACGAATGTGGTTACCGTTTGCACTGTCTCTATGTATCCAATAGACCAGTGGTGGCGAACCCGTGGCACGCGTGCCACAGCCGGCACGCCGAGCCTTATCTGTGGGCACGCCAGGAGAATCCAGCGGCGCGCTGTCTTCCCGGCTGTAGTGTGCGTGACAGCCGGGTCCCAAGTGCGCATGCACAAGAAGCAGTGCTCCTTGTGAATGGTAAGGCGGTACCTGGGACACATGACAGATCCCAGAAGCCGCCGGACCAATCACAAAGCGCAGCGCTTCTCGCGCATGCGCACTGGGCATCCGGCTGTCCGACGAGCGCCCACACTACAGAAGCCGGGAAGACAGCGCGCGGCTGGATCGAGGAACAGGTAAGATAAAAAAAAAAAAACTCTGCGGAAGTAAGAGCGGGTACCTGTCAAATTCAGGTACCCGCTCCCCCTCCCTCCCTCCCCAAAGGTCAGCAGTCATCCCTGTGCTGTGTCCCCAGTCTCTGGTCATCTCCTGTGCTGTGTCCCCAGTCTCTGGTCATCTCCTGTGCTGTGTCCCCAGTCTCTGGTCATCTCCTGTGCTGTGTCCCCAGTCTCTGGTCATCTCCTGTGCTGTGTCCCCAGTCTCTGGTCATCTCCTGTGCTGTGTCCCCAGTCTCTGGTCATCTCCTGTGCTGTGTCCCCAGTCTCTGGTCATCTCCTGTGCTGTGTCCCCAGTCTCTGGTCATCTCCTGTGCTGTGTCCCCAGTCTCTGGTCATCTCCTGTGCTGTGTCCCCAGTCTCTGGTCATCTCCTGTGCTGTGTCCCCAGTCTCTGGTCATCTCCTGTGCTGTGTCCCCAGTCTCTGGTCATCTCCTGTGCTGTGTCCCCAGTCTCTGGTCATCTCCTGTGCTGTGTCCCCAGTCTCTGGTCATCTCCTGTGCTGTGTCCCCAGTCTCTGGTCATCTCCTGTGCTGTGTCCCCAGTCTCTGGTCATCTCCTGTGCTGTGTCCCCAGTCTCTGGTCATCTCCTGTGCTGTGTCCCCAGTCTCTGGTCATCTCCTGTGCTGTGTCCCCAGTCTCTGGTCATCTCCTGTGCTGTGTCCCCAGTCTCTGGTCATCTCCTGTGCTGTGTCCCCAGTCTCTGGTCATCTCCTGTGCTGTGTCCCCAGTCTCTGGTCATCTCCTGTGCTGTGTCCCCAGTCTCTGGTCATCTCCTGTGCTGTGTCCCCAGTCTCTGGTCATCTCCTGTGCTGTGTCCCCAGTCTCTGGTCATCTCCTGTGCTGTGTCCCCAGTCTCTGGTCATCCCTGTGCTGTGTCCGCAGTCTCTGGTCATCCCTGTGCTGTGTCCGCAGTCTCTGGTCATCCCTGTGCTGTGTCCGCAGTCTCTGGTCATCCCTGTGCTGTGTCCGCAGTCTCTGGTCATCCCTGTGCTGTGTCCGCAGTCTCTGGTCATCCCTGTACTGTGTCCGCAGTTCTGGTCATCCCTGTACTGTGTCCGCAGTCTCTGGTCATCCCTGTACTGTGTCCGCAGTCTCTGGTCATCCCTGTACTGTGTCCGCAGTCTCTGGTCATCCCTGTACTGTGTCCGCAGTCTCTGGTCATCCCTGTACTGTTAATTAGTTTGCACTACTGTACGAGTTGTTTTTTTCTAAACCAAAAGCTCGATATTCAGGTTTCATTGCAGTGTTGGCACTTTGAAAGAAATAAGTTGGTTTTGGGTTGCAGTTTGGGCACTCGGGCTCAAAAAGGTTCGCCATCACTGCAATAGACCAATAAAAACGAATGCTTTTAATGTCACTAATTTTCTTACCTAAACATTTTTTACATTTTTCAAGGATGTATTAGTCTTTTATTTGTTAAGCAATTTCAATAAAATCCCTGCTTGTATTTAGGCCATGAAAAAAATGTAAAAAAATAAATAAAAAAAATGACATTTTCAATGAATAGTTTTTATATTTATTTAGTTTACTTTTTTGGCATTTTTTCTGATAACTGTGGTCTGGGCATCTTGGCATCCACTGTGCACCCCCAGGTTAATTTTAAATTAATTGAGCAGCTTTCAGTTTTTCAGTCTAAAGTCTCTGAATTTTACCTTTTTTAAAAAAAAGAAATAGTCCCTTAAAAATTAAAGTAGCAAGTAGATTTTTTAAAAACATTTTTTTTTCAGAAAATGATACATTTACTTAATTCAACCATCATGGTGCCATTTACTCTATTCTTTAAACTCTCAGAGAGGAGCTGGAGCAATAATAACCTTCGCTGAATGTATGTTACATAAATAATTCTTCTCTATTGGACTTGGCTGGCCTTCCTATTTGAATGCACGGCAGTCTCATCCAGCCAGTACTGGGCTCGGCTGCTGGCAATGCCTGCTGGGTTGGGTATGGTGCCCTCCCGATCTCTGGCTCATAGGAGTGTTCCAGCTTGTAGTGCCAGAGCAGCTTGTAATGAAAAATGAGGCTCTCTGGGACCTCGGCTCGCCGAGCATGTACCCGTGCCATGGCTGAGGCCTTCAATAATTTAATATGACATCTGCATGCATTGCGTGGGACATCTTAAGTAAACTACATTCACAATGATCTGGCCGGGATTGTCCATCCATGAAATATTTAGCTCTAGATTTTTTTTTGCTCTTGCTTGTAAGCAAAAACAGAAAATGTAAAAAATTAAAAAAAAAAAGTTAAAATCTGAATTTCAAATGTGCATATGCATTAAAAAGGTTGATGGATGTATTTAATTTTGAATTTAGGTTGTATAAACCTAAATTTGCTAGGGAAAAATTTTAAGCTGAACTACAAGCAAACAATTAATGTGGGACAGTGGCTTGCGCATGTATTTGCAAATATGTGCAAACCAAACCCTCTGTTTTTAATGCAAACTGTTAGACAGGGCCGAATTGGTTGTTTTGCAGGCTGGCTGGTAAGTGTTGCTGGGAAATTCCCTTCCATGTGCACCTTACTGCTAAGGCTGGTTGGGATTTTTTGTGCAGTTGGCTAACTTGGATGCAGGGACGCACTGAATCCCTTTGCTGTCAGTTTGGTATAGCTGGGCGTCACATGCATCTCTGTACCTTTAAGGAGGGATGGGCTACTCCAGACACACCTGCCCTTAACCTATCCATTGATATATGTGCTCCTACTATGGGGGCTCAGGACATTTTATAGTTAGGTCCACAGTACCCACATGGAAGAAAAATATATTTGAAATATATTTAAAAAATATTTTTCCCAAATATTTTGCCATATATTTGAAATGCTACAATTTTGGCCATATTCCTTATATTTCAATATAAATAAATATATATATATATATATATATATATATATATATATATTATATTAACATCTAAAAAAGTCATTTTGACATATAGTTTTACATATATTTGTAAATGCATTCCAAAAATGTAAAGTAAAATTTTTTAAGACATAAAGTATATTTGAAATGTATTTTTAAAAATATTTTTCATATATTTTGTAATAAAAATGCATTTCAACTTGTAGTATATATATATATATATATATATATATATATATATATATATATATATATTTGATTATTGAAATATATTTTGAAATATATTGAATATGGCCAAAATTGTAGCATTTCAAAGATATGGCAATATATTTGGGAAGAATATTTCTAAACTATGTTTAAAATATATTTTTCTTCCATATAGATTGCATTAAAGAGGAACTTCACCCCCCCCCCCCATTTATTTAGTTCTAATCCCCACTTACCGGATGCTGGTTTGTGCAGAATTCAAATACTCACCCACTCAATGGATCCAGAATCGTCCTGCTGAGATCCACTTCCTTACTGCCACCTCTTAGTTCTTGTGCTGCCATTTTTCTTCTGTGACGTCATCAGGAGGCTGCCCTTTGTAGGCAGCCACCTCCTGATGACACACCACTAGGCCTGCCCCCCTCCTCCTTTTATGAACGGAACAATATGCCTCCCGTGATATATGATGTGCTTATTGTTATTATTATACAGGATTTATATAGCGCCAACAGTTTGCTCAGCTCTTTACAATAACGGTTGACAATACAGCAACAATACAGTTCGATACAAGAGGGATAGGAGGGCCCTGATCTTTGGAGCTTACAATCTAAGAGGGAGGGGCTAGTGGTACCAAAGTTAGTAACTGTGGGGGATGGACTGGTTGGAAGAGTAGAAGATTCCATTATTAGCTGAGAGCAGGATAGGCTTCGCTGAAGAGATAGGTTTTCAGAGATCGCCTAAAAGTGATCAGAGTAGGCGATAGTCTGATAAATTGGGGTGGAGAGTTCCAGAGGATGGGGGAAGCTCTGGAGAAGTGCTGAAGTCGAGCATGGGAGGAGGAGACAAGGGAGCTAGAGAGCAGGAGGTTGTGTGAGGAGCAGAGAGTACGGTTTGGGTGATATTTGGAGACAAGATCAGTGATGTAATTTGGGGCAGAGTTATAAATGGCTTTATATGTTATTGTTAATCTTTTGAATTTTATCCCAGCACTGTGCGTCATTCACCTAGGCGAGAATGGAGGATGGGTGGTGAACCACAACCTGTACACTGAAAAAAAAAAAGTAAGCAAATGAAAAAAAAAAGGGGGGGAGAGTTTTATGTAGCAGAGAGGGGAGGATTGTTTATTTTCAGGGCAAAGATCCGCTTTAAGTTCTCTGATTCCTCCTCAAAAAACAAATAAATATGCAGCCAGTCTCTTTGCGCAGAAATAGGCAAATTCTTCATCCGGCAAAAGTTCTGAAGTCAGATCTCTAAGGTCCATGAAATTAGAATGCATAGACATTGTGTATGGACATCAATTTCCTGTCAATGCTATTTAGCCGTGCCATGGTTCATATCAATTTGATGAAATCATTGAACTTTCTTTATCCTCAAATGCCCTGGAAATATTTGTTAATTCTGATAAAATAGAAAGACTCCTTTAAAAAGGTAAAACATATCAGAACATGTTGTATTGCTCCTTAAAGCTAACCTCTACGCATACATGAAGTAAGACACAAATGGCACAAGCAATCATTAATACCTAACTAAGGCCGGGTTCACACTCATGCGGTGCGGTACATCGCATTTGATTCGCACAGGAACCGCACCGCATTCCTATGCTAATCACATGCGAATTCTGTGCGATGCGATTGGCGTCATACATTATGTATGGCTCTAATCTCACTGTATCCGCACCAAAAAGGTGCAGGACCCTTTTGTGGGTCCACACTAGAGTCGGATCGCATGGGTATTCACACTTATGCAATCTGATTCTGCACATCGCACCGTGCTTTGCGGACCGATTTCAGGGTGTTGTTAACATACACACCTGCAGAGGTTCGCATGAATGGGGTGCGATTGTGATGCGGTGCAGAATTCGCACAGAAAACGCTGCAAATTCCGCATCCGTGTGAACCTAGGCTTACTGTATTTTTGAAATGCATGCAGCGTAAGTACCTGAATTTAACCTGGTGTTAGCAGGGTCAGTGCTAGACTATATTGCATCCTAGGCAAGACCAGCTACTTGCGCCCCCCCCGGAAAAAAAAAAAACAGTAGAAAATATTAAGTTAACAAAACATGAAACTGCTAAACTTCTTTTAATTTGCAAAAATAAGTGCCATAAGATGCCACCAGCACCAGTATGAAAAACACAATCAGTGTCATGGACGGACTGTATCTGGGGCTGACAGTGGCAGGGTGACAGTAGCAGTGAGTGGAGGATGATGGATCCACACTCTGACAGATCCCAGGATGGAATTCCCCAGGCAATGGGGGGAGACAAAATGTTGTCACAGCAGGCAGCTCAGCCCCCACACACAGAGAACACTTGAACTGAGCGATCCCACACAGTGACAGATCCGACACAACACACCACCACCAACACTGACACAGATCAGCAGGCACTAGAAGAGCAGGCTGTGGGATCGTGATGATGTCATCACTCATTGACACATTGCACTTGCGATGGATGGCTGCCTGGCCGGGTCACACTCACACAGACACTGGACATTAGACATTACCTTCCTCCACAGTCTCAGCTCAACCTCCGTGGATGAATGGGAAGAGAAGGGCTGGAACTCCACAGTGATCAGCAGCAGCCACCAGCTGGCTTACATTAAGGGACTGAGTCTGAGAGGAACACTAGAAGGAGCTGCAGCTCCGTTACTACACTGGCCCCAAACACTTGGCATTTTTCTGTCCTTCTCTGTACTGTCCAACTCTCTGTCACCTCTCCCCTCAGCTGGAGGATCATTCATGATGTGGCGGTGTCCCACACGGAGAGAGTCCAGGCCTGTGCTGTGCCCAGGCACCCCTAGGTGGCAGTGCGCATTAGGCAGCCGCCTAGTGGAAGCACCGGCCCTGGGTGTTAGCCTTTTGCAGTTCCTGTGCAGCAGGGTTGGAGTATGACAAAAAGCATGCTGATAGGAAGAGAAATCAGAGTGACAGAGAGATGAGCTTATCCGTGTGCTGCAATTACATTCATTGTCCATTCACAGGCTAGGGTGGGTCCAAGATGACCTGGGCTCAGGGGAAGTGAGGTTGAATTACGCTGGCCTTTAAACTGAGGGCATCTAGCTGCAGAAACAAGTAATACGGGGAAATCTCTAAACTGAAAATGAAGATTTCAGCAAAAAGCTGGTGTTACTGTACCTCTTATCGGGCTGTATCATTATATTATTTAGCATAAAAATGTATTCTTGCAAACCCAGTCCCTGTACAGCAGGGCTGGAGTGTGACAGGAAGAAACAGCACAGGAAGCCAATCAGTTCATGTGCTGGCAAAAAGCATGCTGATAGTAGGAGAACTCAGAGTGACAGAGAGATGAGCTCATCCCTGTGCTACTTCTCCTTTCACACTGTCCAGTCACAGGCTGGGGTGGATCCAGGATGACCTGGCCTCAGGTGGGTTGAATCACGCTGGTCTTCAAACTGGGAGCATCTAGCTGCAGAAAAAAGTAATGCGGGCAAATCTCTAAACTGAAGATGAAGATTTCAGCAGAAATCTGGTGTTATTGTATCTCTTATTGGGCTGCATCATTGTATCGTTTCGTATAAAAATGTATTCTTGCAAATCCCTGCAATTATAAACGTAGACATTCTACCTGGAAGACGGAACACGTACTGTGAGTGCAGAACATACCACAACCTGCCCTTTACAGGGGGATTTATTAAGACTGGAGAAGCTAGAATCTAGAGCAATTGTGCATGACAACCAATCAGCTTCATTAGATCATCCTAATTGATTAAGATGAAGTCAGAAGCTGATTGGTTACTATGCGGAGCTGCTTCAGATTCTGTTGCCCCAGATTTGGTCAATTCTCCCCACTCCAGTGTAATGATCCAGAGAATAGCACTCTCCATCATTGGGGACCACCCAACACTGGAGAAAATTGGAAAAGGACCCTTCACACCAAGTGACTAGGCTAAAGAAGTGTGATAAGTATAAAAAAGTATGAATGTGAGTTAGGGACCTTAGATTGTACACCCCTTGAGGGTTAGGGCCCTTAGATTGTACACCCCTTGAGGGTTAGGGACTGATGTGAATGTATAATATATATGTAAAGCGCTGCGTAAATTGATGGCGCTATATAAGTACCTGAAAAATAAAAAAATAAAGCATTAAATAATACCATGGGGAGAAGCAGGGACTCCAGAGGGCAGCACTAGGGAAGGGGAAATCTGGGGCCTGAAGTAGGGATACACAGTAAATAAACATTAGCCAGTCCTTTAATAAATCAACCCCATAGACTTCCATTATGAGAAGGAAGCGAAAAGGACAAAGTAAGTAGAGCCTGCCTATGTAATGCAAAAATATAACAGTCGCAATGTGTTCATACAATTACAGCCTGCATGTAGAAAAAGTCCTTTAAAATCAATAATATAAAAATATAATTTAAATCAAGCGTATCCCTATTAAATTTTTATGTGGAAAAGGTAAAAAGACAATTCATGTGTCTTAAAGCAGAATTTTGCTGCAGAAAGGGTCCTGAGACCACTGCTTCTGTCTTGTGCAATACAGCTCTATGTTCTGAATAAAGGACACCTTTGCGTACTCTACACCACTGTTTCTCAACCTTTTTTCAGTCAAGGCACCCTTTAAAGTTATGGACACTCCTGAGGCACCCTTTAAAATTATGGACAGTCCCAAGGCACCCTTTAAAGTTATGGACAGTCTTGAGGCACCCTTTAAAATTATGGACAGTCCAGAGGCACCCTTTAAAATTACGGACACTCCTGAGGCACCTTTTAAAATTATGGACAGTCTTTAGGCACCCTTTAAAATTATGGACAGTCTTAAGGCACCCTTTAAAATTATGGACAGTCTTGAGGCACCCTTTAAAGTTATGGAGAGCCCCGAGGCACCCTTTAAAATTATGGACAGTCTTGAGGCACCCTTTACAATTATGGAGAGTCCCGAGGCACCCTTTAAAATTATGGACAGTCCCGAGGCACCCTTTAAAGTTATGGACAGTCCCGAGGCACCCTTTAAAATTATGGACAGTCTTGAGGCACCCTTTAAAATTATGGACAGTTTTGAGGCACCCTTTAAAATTATGGACAGTCTTAAGGCACCCTTTAAAATTAAGGACAGTCTTGAGGCACCCTTTAAAATTATGGAGAGCCCTGAGGCACCCTTTAAAATTATGGACAGTCTTGAGGCACCCTTTACAATTATGGAGAGTCCCGAGGCACCCTTTAAAATTATGGACAGTCCCGAGGCACCCTTTAAAGTTATGGACAGTCCCGGGGCACCCTTTAAAATTATGGACAGTCTTGAGGCACCCTTTAAAATTATGGACAGTCCTGAGGCACCCTTTAAAATTATGGACAGTCCCAAGGCACCCTTTAAAATTATGGAGAGTCTTGAGGCACCCTTTAAAATTATGGACAGTTTTGAGGCACCCTTTAAAATTATGGACAGTCCCGAGGCACCCTTTAAAATTATGGAGAGCCCCGAGGCACCCTTTAAAATAATGGACAGTTTTGAGGCACCCTTTACAATTATGGACAGTCCCAAGGCACCCTTTAAAATTATGGACAGTCTTAAGGCACCCTTTAAAATTATGGACAATCTTAAGGCACCCTTTAAAATTATGGACAATCTTAAGGCACCCTTTAAAATTATGGACAGTCCCGAGGCACCCTTTAAAATTATGGACAGTCCCGAGGCACCCTTTAAAATTATGGACAGTCTTTAGGCACCCTTTAAAATTGTGGACAGTCTTGAGGCACTCCATTCTAAAATGTGAAAACTAATATAATAGTTTTATATAACGCAGCAACATCCACACATGTAGGACACCCAACATTAGAGGTGATTTATTCTTCCAAAGCAAATATACTTTTGCACACTGGTACTGACTAGTATCCCAATGTTTCTCCTCTCCCTCAGTTTTTCTTCATCACTGAGCTAATGTGACCCCAGCACTAATAGAGAGGGGCAGGGGAGTGTCAAACTAGGATGCTGTGCTGGCAGCTGACATCCTCCTTATCAACTGATGGTGTCATTGGTTGTCAGGCTGCTGGTGGCTAGAAGGTCTTAATGGTGCACAATGAAAACCTGTGGCTTTATGTAACTAAAAGGCAGGCTTGTTCCACCCACTGGGTTGTATACAAGTTTTTGGCAATTTTTAGACATTTTGCCAAGGCACCCCTGAAGAAACCTCAAGGCACCCCAGGGTGCCTGGGCACCCTGGTTGAGAAAGGCTGCTCCACACTGGTAATGGTGCAACATTGAACATTACTATTGCAGTTGTTGTTTTAACGCCCCCCAACCTGTAGTACTCAGTACTGCAAGGATGACATACTGATGTAGCTGCCATAGCCATTATGGCATTATTGTTTTTTTAATGACCCAAGCAACACAGTGGCCATGATAATATGCAATACATGTCACATCAAGTCCTATGTAATTTATAACAAGTCAAAAACAAACAGGAACAAAATTTCTTCTTCTCTGCTACCACCAGTTCCAGGGCACCAACCACCAACATATACGGCTTCTTACTGGCATCCAAAACCTCAATATGCAGGAGGTTTTAAAGCACTTTGACTACAATGCTCAGATCCCAGATAAATGGATGGAGGGATCTCACACCCTCACTCCAAATATCAGTAACTGCAAAATATACTGTACCTCATGCATAAAGAAAGAGGAAGGAGAACTGCGCATAGTTACATAGTTAGTCTGGCTGAAAAAAGACAAAAGTCCATCCAGTTCAACCATTAAAAAAAAAAAAGTGTAGTGAATTCAGACTCACATTTATTACAAATTCAGATCATGTTCTCAGAAACAAGGAAGAAATTCAAACATATCAGAGACACCCACTGATCATCTGTGTGGACATGATGACGTTACCACTAAGCTCATCTCTACGCGTTTCGTCCTATGGGATATCTTTCAAGGGGTGTTGTAGGAAGTCCTATATTTCTCTCTTTTTTGTGAGCACACGATCTGAATTTTTTTTATAGAAACAAGATGAGATTTCCTACACTCTGCAGTTCTCCTTGCTCTTTTTTTTGCATCAGGTATATTGTGCAGTTTGGAGTGAGCGTGAGAACCATCCATTCCAATGGAATCTGAACATTGCAGTCAAAGCGCTGTAGGACCTCCTGTGTATTGAGGTCTAGGCTTCGGCCGTGTATGTTGGTGGTTGGTGCACTGGAACTGGTGGTCACATAACTACTATATTACAGTCCTAAAAAAAATATATATTTAGCTAGAAATGTATGATTATTGAAGATTGTACACTAGTCCAGTGGCAGGAAACAAGGAAATGATTACTTTGATGCCTGGAGTTCTTCTTTAACCTAACCCACTTATAGACAAGCCAGCCTTCTGCTCTGATGCATGAATGGAGCCCATATTTGCAGGTTTATCCTCTCCCTTCTCGGGATGGTACGGCTGCCAATATTTTCGTCAGCAGTTGTCAGCTAACTGATCCAAAAATGGCAGCAATTTGTGTTCCGCGTGCCACTCTTGGCTATTTTCAGAAGTGCGCACATGGCGGGCAGCGTTCCTCACGCTAGAATAGCAATCATCAAGCACAAAGCCATAAACACGCTGAATGACTAATGAGACAATGGAACATGAAGAGAATTCCAATTTACATTTAAATAAGCTACAGGCTGAGCTTTTGTGAAATACATCGGTATGTTTAAAAAAAAGAAAAAGGGGGGGAAAAAAAATTAAAAACACTTTCTCTTAACGGAACCAAATGTACCAGAAAAATTATGAATATTTCATGGTAAAATACTATTAGGCAGGAGTCATTCTCTATTTCATACGAAGTCTGCGCAGAAGGTTTCAGCGTCTGAAATATTCATTTTGAGTGGTGCGTGAGGCCTTTGTTCTTGCTGAAGTACCCAAGTGTTATCTGACTTTCGGTAGTTAGTGGAGTAGTTATTATTGATGTATAAATTTCACTGCAAATTCCAGCATAGGTGGATAATGTAGGATGGCACTAGTCTGATATTGGAATTGTTTTAGAAAAAAGTGTGATAGATATCAATGAGATTAAATGTTTTGCAGTAATTCGGGTCATTCCTCTGCTATCAGATCTTCCCCATGGACAGCCAGTTTGCCCCAGAGGAAGTACCAAAGTGTTCTGTAGTTTATATCAGCGGGAGGAATTATGTTCCAATGTTGGTGTTAATGGAAGGAATGCTGCCTCATATCAGTGGAAGGAATAGTGCCCCAAGGGCCAGATAAAGGCAATCAAAGGACCGCATTCGGCCCCCGGGCTGCAGTTTGGAGACCACTGGGCTAGACAATTGCACCCTGACTGCCATTGTGGGTCCTGGGTTCTTCCTGGTGCATGACAATGCCCAGCCTCATGTGGCGAGAGTATGCAGGCAGTTCCTGGAGGATGAAGGAATTGATACCACTGAATGGACCCCACGCTCGCCTGACCTAAATCCAAGAGAACACCTCTGGGATATCATGTTTCGGTCCATCCGACACCGCCAGGTTGCACCTCAGACTGTCCAGGAGCTCAGTGATGCCCTGGTCCAGATCTGGGAGGAAATACCCCAGGACACCATCCGTCGTCTCATTAGGAGCAGGCCCCAACCTTGTCAGTCATGCATACAAGTACGTGGGGGCCATACAAACTACTGAGGACCATTCTGAGTTGCTGCAATTACATTTCTGCAAAATGGACTCGCCTGCTGCATCATCAGGTTGATCATTTTCATTTCATCAAATGATGGGGCATCCTTACATTCTTAGCGCATAACCCAGTCCATATCAGTATAGATATCCGGCATGATATTTTTCCCCATTCAGATCTCAGGGAAAGTGAGGTTGAATTACGCTGGCCTTTAAACTGAGAGCATCTAGCTGCAGAAACAAGTAATACAGGGAAATCTCTAAACTGAAAATGAAGATTTCAGTAAAAAGCTGGTGTTACTGTACCTCTTATTGGGCTGTATCATTATATTATTTAGCATAAAAATGTATTCTTGCAAACCCAGTCACTGTGCAGCAGGGTTGGAGTGTGACAGGAAAAAACAGCACAGGAAGCCAATCAGTTCTTGTGCTGGCAAAAAGCATGCTGATAGTAGTAGAACTCAGAGTGACAGAGAGATGAGCTCATCCCTGTGCTACTTCTCCTTTCACTGTCCAGTCACAGGCTGGGATGGATTCAGGATGACCTGGGCTCAGGTGGGTTGAATCACGCTGGTCTTCAAACTGGGAGCATCTAGCTGCAGAAAAAAAGTAATGCGGGCAAATCTCTAAACTGAAGATGAAGATTTCAGCAGTTTTCAAAGTTTTCCTTTAATTTTTTTGAGCAGTGTATTATCAAATTTTGCTAAATCAGAAATGATGATCACACTTTACAAACAAATAGAAATCATGTTATCCAATGTATTTAGTGAAAAATCATTATGTGTTTAGTTTAAAACATTTGTAGTGTTGTGTATTGATTTGAAAAAGTACTTGATGTCCTGTTATTTGTGGTCTGTATCTCTTAGGGAAAATATGTATCTTATGCTTTAACAGAGGAACCTGTAGCTCTGCATCTAGTGCCTAGTAGAAATAGGCCAACTAGACTGATTTAACTTTGCTAAAAACAATTTGGCAAAATTTTTGATTTTTTTTAAAATGTTGCTATTTGGTAAAATGCACAGCATGCACAGCTAAGTGTAGAATTTTTGCATGTCAGGATAAATGAACTCCTAGGTGTATGGGCAGGATTGACATCATTCCAGACTGGCCACTGAAGAGAGCCAAAGCCACAGAACTTGAAAGAAGACTGGTAGAAATTCTTCGTGTTGGCAAAGGAACGAGCGGACACTGCATCCATGGAGGTTAGGTATTTACTGTAGACTTTGATTTTGATTTAGGGCTCAATTTATGAACTTTTACCATAAAGATAATCTTCATTTTAGCTGTAATTTTAAAATCTCATTGGACACACTTTTTTTTAAAATAAGTATCAGCCATGTATGTTAGCTCTGTAAATTTGAACCTTCAGTAATTTGACCCCAAAGGAGACTATTGGAATAGCAATTTTTGCTCCTCCATTCAAACATGCCTGTCCATCAGAGAATGGGGCAAGCACAAATTATTTATGATAGTATAGCCAGTAGTAGTGAAAGAGATTGTAAACCTTACCTCGTAAAGTGACTCATTCAGTTTTTAATAGAAATGAAAGGCAAAACATTTGTGTATAGATACAGTCATGGCCGAAATTGTTGGCACCCTTGATATTTTTCCTGAAAATCATGTATTTCTCACGAAACGTATTGCATTAACACATGTTTTGCTATACACATGTTTATTCCCTTTGTGTGTATTGGACAAAACAAAAAAAGGGAGGAAAGAAAGCAAATTCGACATAATGTCACACAAACCTCCAAAAATGGGCTGGACAAAAGTATTGGCACCCTTTCACAACTGCGGATAAATAAGAATGTTACAAGCATGTGATGCTCCTGTAAACTCACCTGGGGCAAGTAACAGGTGTGGGCAATATAGAAATCACACCTGAAAGCAGATAAAAAGGAGAGACGTTCACTTAACCTTTGCATTGTGTGTCTGTCTGTGCCACACTAAGCATGGACAACAGAAGAGGAGACGAGAACTGTCTGAGGACCTGAGAACCAAAATTGTGGCAAAATATCAACAATCTCAAGGTTACAAGTCCATCTCCAGAGAACTAGATTTGCCTTTGTCCACAGTGCGCAACATTATCAAGAAGTTTGCAACCCATGGCACTGTAGCTAATCTCCCTGGTCGTGGACGGATGAGGAAAATTGATGAAAGATTGCAACGCAGAATAGTCCGGATGGTGGATAAGCAGCCCCAAACATGTTCCAAAGACATTCAAGCTGTCCTGCAGGCTCAGGGAGCATCAGTGTCAGCGCGAACTATCCGTCGACATTTAAATGAAATGAAACGCTATGGCAGGAGACCCAGGAGGACCCCACTGCTGACACAGAGACATAAAAAAGCAAGACTACAGTTTGCCAAAATGTACTTGAGTAAGCCAAAAGCCTTCTGGGAAAACGTCTTGTGGACAGATGAGACCAAGATAGAGCTTTTCGGTAAAGCACATCATTCTACTGTTTACCGAAAACGGAATGAGGCCTACAAAGAACAAAACACAGTACCTACGGTAAAATATGGTGGAGGTTCAATGATGTTTTGGGGTTGTTTTGCTGCCTCTGGCACTGGGTGCCTTGACTGTGTGCAAGGCATCATGAAATCTGAGGATTACCAAAGGATTTTGGGTCGCACTGTAGGGCCCAGTGTCAGAAAGCTGGGTTTGCGTCCAAGATCCTGGGTCTTCCAGCAGGACAATGACCCCAACATACGTCAAAAAGCACTCAGAAATGGATGGCAAAGAAGCGCTGGAGAGTTCTGAAGTGGCCAGCAATGAGCCCAGATCTAAATCCCATTGAACACCTGTGGAGAGATCTTAAAATTGCTGTTGGGAAAAGGTGTCCTTCCAATAAGAGAGACCTGGAGCTGTTTGCAAAGGAAGAGTGGTCCAAAATTCCGGGTGAGAGGTGTCAGAAGCTTATTGATGGTTATAGGAAGCGACTGATTTCAGTTATGTTTTCCAAAGGGTGTGCAACCAAATATTAAGTTAAGGGTGCCAATACTTTTGTCCAGCCCATTTTTGGGGTTTTGTGTGACATTATGTCATATTTGCTTTTTCTGCCTCTGTTTTATATTTGTTCCAATACATACAAAGGGAATAAACATGTGTATAGCAAAACATGTGTTTAATGCAATACCTTTTTTGTGTGAAATACTTGATTTTCAGGAAAAATATCAAGGGTGCCAACAATTTCGGCCATGACTGTATATAAAAAACCCATTATATTACATACACTTTTTTCATACAAGTATATGGTACAGCAGGTACATATCAGGAATATGAAATGTTGAGCTTTCATATTCTTTAATCAGATTCAACTGGTCTTGTTCTGTAATGCTGAAGACTAGAGATGAGCGAAGTATTCAAAAATTCGATTCGGCTGATTCGGCGGAATTCGAGGAATAAATTCGATTCGATGCGAATATATTCGCTGCGAATTTAACTTATAAAAAGGGTTTCTAGGCTTCAGAGAGCCTTTATATTAGTGCAGAACACTGTACCTTTAATTTAAATGCCCTTGGAGTCTGCTGGGGAAGAGAAATAATACTGTCAGTCAGTATGACATGCAGATGAGTGCCGTCGATCTTAGAATCACCGCACACTTCACTCATTTGGGCAGTCACGGGGCCAAAACCAGAGTGTGGAGCCACAGTGTGGCGGTGGAGGCAGCAGCAATGGGTGACAAAATGGAACCCACCAGCAGTGTGAGGAGACCTGAAAGTGGCACATGGCAGAGTGTGGTGATGGAGACAGCAGCAATGGGAGGCCGTACAGGGACCCATGAGACACTCTGGACCTGGCAGCAGCAAGAGGAGGCGGTACAGGGCCCATGACACACTGTGGACCTGGCAGCAGCATGAGGAGGCGGTACGGGGGCCCATGGCAGATTACGGGCCTGGGCAGCATGGGAGGCCCGTAATCTGCCAGCACCCTATGACAAAATGGAACCCACCAGCAGTGTGAGGAGACCTGAAAGTGGCACATGGCAGAGTGTGGCGATGAGTCAGCAGCAATGGGAGGCCGTACAGGGACCCATGACACACTCTGGACCTGGCAGCAGCATGAGGAGGCGGTACAGGGGCCCATGGCAGAGTGGCGAAGCGTAGCAGCATGCTTAAATTGAAGGCCATACAGAGGCCTAGTGTGAGGAAAAAATAATAACATGTTTGGGGCATGATTCATGGCGGATTTAGTCAGTTGTGTCAGGAACTGGGTGGTTTGAAATCCAGACTAATCCACGCCTGATTCATTTTCACAAACGTGAGTCTCTCCACACTTTGGGTGGACAGTCGTGTCCTCCGCGGAGTTACAATACCTCCTGCCGCACTAAACACGCGCTCCGATGCCACGCTACTGGCCGGGCATGACAGCCTTTCAAGGGCAAATTCAGCTAGTTGGGGCCAAAGGTCAAGTTTTCGTTGCCCAGTAGTCAAGGGGATTGTCTACCTCGGTTGGCAGGGTGCTGTCCAAGTAGGCCCAAGCCTGTTGTTTGAGGTCCTGCTCCAGGTCCACCTGATGCTGCTGCTGCTGCTGCGGCTGGTTAGTAGTTTCCTCACTGCGCTGGTGAAGAAAGCTACTCATCATCGACTGCAGACTGAGGCAGCCGCTGCTGGTGGAGCTGCCACTGCTCCTACCACCCCACCCCTCCCCTGCTGCCATGGCAGCGGAACGCGAGCGCACAGGGCCCACAGTGTGTCTGAGGATGGACGTTGGCGCAGAAAGGCAGAAAGGCAGAGACCAACTGACTACATAGGTGGTTTTTTTATAGTACGTTATTTTGGCCTCCCTCTCAGCAGGTGTGAAAAAGGCCACCATTTTTGAACGGTAGCGAGGGTCCAACAAGGTGGACAGCCAAAAGTCATCCCTCTGTCTGATGGTTATTATTCGGCTGTCGCTACGCAAGCAACCGAGCATGCTATGGGCCATTTGTGCCAAGGAATGCGAGGGACTCCCTGCCTCCATCTCCACAGCATACTGCCACGGTGCGTCTGGGTCCTCTGTCTCCTCCTCCTCCTCCTCCTCTACCAGATGCTCCTGCTCCTCCACTCCTGTCCGCTGAGTGGAAAAACCACCCATTTCACTCAATAATTCCTGAGCACCAATGTCCTCCTCTACCTCCTCCTCTTCTTCCTGTCCTGCCCCCACAGGGGTCATGTGGCGTTGAGATCTGTGCGCCACGTCTACCGCACCCTGACCAGCCATTGTTAACAGCATTTGTTCCAGGACGTGCAACAGAGGAATGACGTCGTTCATCCCATAGTCCTGCCGACTCACGAATAGCGTGGCCTCCTCAAAGGGCCTGAGCAAGCGGCAGGTGTCACGCATGAGCTGCCAATGGCTGACATCGAAGTTACACAGGGGAGTACCTTTATCCGCTTGTAACATCAGGAAATCGGTGATGGCCTTTCGCTGTTCGTAAAGGCGGTCTAACATGTGTAGGGTTGAATTCCACCTTGTTGCAACGTCGCAGATCAGGCGATGCTGTGGAATTCCGTTCTGCCGCTGCAGCTCAAGGAGGGTGTGCTTTGCGGTGTAGGAATGGCTGAAATGCATGCAAAGTTTACGTGACATTTTAAGGATGTCTTGCAGTGGGATGGTGGATTTTAGGAACCGCTTGACAACCAGATTGAACACGTGAGCCATGCATGGCGCATGGCACAACCTTCCTTGACGCAGAGCAGACACCATGTTCTTTCCGTTGTCGGTCAACATGGTTCCGATTTTCAGTTTGCGCGGAGACAGCCATCTGTCGATTTCTCTGTTCATTACACTCAGAAGTTCCTCCCCTGTGTGACTACGTTCGCCAAGGCATACCAGGTGCAGCACAGCGTGTGACACCGTTGCGCCCTGCACATGTGATATGCCGGTCGGGTAATGGGACTTGGCTTGGGGGGGGTGGCGGCTGAGGACACGGCGGAAGAAGAGGTGGTAGAGGCGGACATCTTTGCAGTGGACCAAGGACGTGCAAACGTGGAGGCAAAAGCGGCGTGACCTGTCCAAGTTGCTGGTGCGGCTGTGCCGGCACCACGTTCACCCAGTGGGCCGTAAATGACATGTACTGTCCCTGACCGTAGTTACAGCTCCACACGTCGGCGCTGCCGTGCACTTTGGCAGAGACCGACATGCTCAAAGACTGGCCCACCATCTCTTCTACATGTGAATGCAGGGCTGGCACTGCCTTTTTGGCGAAGAAATGCGGCTTGGCACTCTCCACCGCGGCGCGGCACAAGCCATCATTTCTCGGAAAGGTGCTGAGTCCACCACTTGGAAAGGGAGGGACTGCAGCACCAGCAACTTGGACAGGAGGACGTTCAGCTTCTGCACCGTCGGGTGCGTGCTCGCAAACTGTTGTCTCTTAAACGGATTCCAAGAAAGACTGCTGACGGAATCCGTGAAGAGGAGTAGCAGGAGAAGGAGCATCTGAACGAGCGGAAGATGCCAACGAGCGACAACTCCCCTCAGCAGAGGTGTTGGAGCCTTGACTGGCTGATAGAGGGCGATTGACGTCGGGTGACGGAGCAAGTAACGGAGCGGGTGATGGAGCGGGGGCTGGGGCAGGCAGAACCGCCGTATCTTTATCACGGTTTTCCCAGGCCACCAAATGGCGACGCTGCATATGCTGCCGCAACGCTGTAGTCCCAACATGGGCCCCCTGGCCACGCTTGACTTTCTGGCCACATAGTCGACATACGGCTACGTTTACTTCCTCGGGCGGCTTGACAAAAAATTGCCACACCGCCGAGTAGGAAACTTTGCCCCCGCTACTCCTCACTGGCTGACTGCTACTTCCTCCGTGCACACCGGCACCACTACTGGCCGTGGTGGTAGGCTGCAGTGGAGCTGGTGCTCTACTCCGTGGCCGTTTTGCCTCCACTGACACTGCTGCGACCCTGCTGCCTCCTGGGCAACCCACCGACTGTTTTGCTCGCTGCCAAGCTGGCCACCCTCTTCTCCTGATGATGCGGAAGCAATAGCCTGATGACGACGAGGCTGCCAAGTGCGATCAGCCTCATCATCATCAATTAGGGTCTCCGCCTCACTACTACTAGCCCCCTCGGCTGCGTGTGGGTCAGGAGACAGACCTGTCTCTAGACCGGCTACCGAGCCACTCTCCTCGCCAGTACTTCTTCGCCTGGCTGCTGAAGAGGCGGATGTCTCCCCCCGTTCCTGACCGCCCTCTGTTAGCTCTTCCTCACTGTACAGTGGGGCTGAGCCCACAGCATGCGATACTTCGCTTGGTGAGGGAACACCAAAGGACAGGGGCAGGTAGAGGACACACGTGATTTCAGTGGGCTTGCTCCCGGGCCATGCCAACTAACGGTTGTGTCTGACGTACCCACCGACCGTTGGCTGTAGGTGTCAGAGGTGACCTGGGAAGAGGAAGACGACCGAGCCAACCAATCGATGACGGCAGGGTTGTCGGTGGAGACACGACCGCTGGATGACACCGGGAGCACTGGCCTCTGGCTGCGACTAGTGCTGCCTCGACCCCTTCCTCTGCTGCCACGTCTGCTCGCTCCTAAAACATTGCCTCCTCTGCCACTCCTCTGCATGTTGTCTGACATACTCTTTAATTCAACGATTCTGTGTCCCTGAGTAACAATTCTGTGTCCCTGAGTAACAATTCTGTGTCTGTCCTGAGTAACAATTCTGTGTCCCTGAGTAACAATTCTGTGTCCCTGAGTAACAATTCTGTGTCCCTCAGTAACAATTCTGTCCCTCAGTAACAATTCTGTGTCCCTCAGTAACAATTCTGTGTCCCTGAGTAACAATTCTGTGTCCCTGAGTAACAATTTGTGTGTCCCTCAGTAACAATTCTGTGTCCCTCAGTAACAATTCTGTGTCTGTCCCTGAGTAAACAATTCTGTGTCCCTCAGTAACAATTCTGTGTCCCTGAGTAACAATTCTGTGTCCCTGAGTAACAATTCTGTGTCCCTGAGTAACAATTCTGTGTCCCTCAGTAACAATTCTGTGTCCCTGAGTAACAATTCTGTGTCCCTCAGTAACAATTCTGTGTCCCTGAGTAACAATTCTGTGTCCCTCAGTAACAATTCTGTGTGTCCCTCAGTAACAATTCTGTGTCCCTCAGTAACAATTCTGTGTCCCTGAGTAACAATTCTGTGTCCCTGAGTAACAATTCTGTGTCCCTGAGTAACAATTCTGTGTCCCTCAGTAACAATTCTGTGTCCCTGAGTAACAATTCTGTGTCCCTCAGTAACAATTCTGTGTCCCTGAGTAACAATTCTGTGTCCCTCAGTAACAATTCTGTGTGTCCCTGAGTAACAATTCTGTGTCCCTCAGTAACAATTCTGTGTCCCTGAGTAACAATTCTGTGTCCCTCAGTAACAATTCTGTGTCCCTCAGTAACAATTCTGTGTCCCTCAGTAACAATTCTGTGTGTCCCTCAGTAACAATTCTGTGTCCCTCAGTAACAATTCTGTGTCCCTGAGTAACAATTCTGTGTCCCTCAGTAACAATTCTGTGTCAATTCTGTGTCCTCAGTAACAATTCTGTGTCCCTGAGTAACAATTCTGTGTCTGTCCCTGAGTAACAATTCTGTGTCCCTGAGTAACAATTCTGTGTCCCTGAGTAACAATTCTGTGTCCCTGAGTAACAATTCTGTGTCCCTGAGTAACAATTCTGTGTCCCTGAGTAACAATTCTGTGTCCCTCAGTAACAATTCTGTGTCCCTGAGTAACAATTCTGTGTCTGTCCCTGAGTAACAATTCTGTGTCCCTCAGTAACAATTCTGTGTGTCCCTCAGTAACAATTCTGTGTCTGTCCCTGAGTAACAATTCTGTGTCCCTGAGTAACAATTCTGTGTCCCTCAGTAACAATTCTGTGTCCCTCAGTAACAATTCTGTGTCTGTCCCTGAGTAACAATTCTGTGTCCTCAGTAACAATTCTGTGTCCCTCAGTAAACAATTCTGAGTAACAATTCTGTCCCTGTCCCTCTGAGTAACAATTCTGTGTCCCTCAGTAACAATTCTGTGTCCCTCAGTAACAATTCTGTGTCCCCTCAGTAACAATTCTGTGTCTGTCCCTGAGTAACAATTCTGTGTCCCTCAGTAACAATTCTGTGTCCCTCAGTAACAATTCAAGTAACAATTCTGTGTCTGTCCCTGAGTAACAATTCTGTGTCCCTGAGTAACAATTCTGTTCTGTGTCCCTGAGTAACAATTCTGTGTCCCTCAGTAACAATTCTGTGTCCCTCAGTAACAATTCTGTGTCTGTGTCCCTGAGTAACAATTCTGTGTCCCTCAGTAACAATTCTGTGTCCCTCAGTAACAATTCTGTGTCCCTGAGTAACAATTCTGTGTCCCTCAGTAACAATTCTGTGTCCCTCAGTAACAATTCTGAGTAACAATTCTGTGTCCCCCTCAGTAACAATTCTGTGTCCCTGAGTAACAATTCTGTGTCCCCTGAGTAACAATTCTGTGTCCCTCAGTAACAATTCTGTGTCCCTCAGTAACAATTCTGTGTCCCTCAGTAACAATTCTGTGTCTGTCCCTGAGTAACAATTCTGTGTCCCTCAGTAAAATTTCTGTGTCCCTCAGTAACAATTCTGTGTCCCTCAGTAACAATTCTGTGTCCCTGAGTAACAATTCTGTGTCCCTGAGTAACAATTCTGTGTCCCTGAGTAACAATTCTGTGTCCCTCAGTAACAATTCTGTTCCCTCAGTAACAATTCTGTCCCTGAGTAACAATTCTGTGTCCCTCAGTAACAATTCTGTGTCTGTCCCTGAGTAACAATTCTGTGTCCCTGAGTAACAATTCTGTGTCCCTCAGTAACAATTCTGTGTCTGTCCCTGAGTAACAATTCTGTGTGTCCCTGAGTAACAATTCTGTGTCTGTCCCTGAGTAACAATTCTGTGTCTGTCCCTGAGTAACAATTCTGTGTCCCTGAGTAACAATTCTGTGTCCCTCAGTAACAATTCTGTGTCCCTCAGTAACAATTCTGTGTCTGTCCCTGAGTAACAAGTAACAATTCTGTGTCTGTCCCTGAGTAACAATTCTGTGTCCCTAAGTAACGGTTCTGTGTCCCTAAGTAACGGTTCTGTGTCCCTAAGTAACGATTCTGTGTCCCTAAGTAACGGTTCTGTGTCCCTAAGTAACGGTTCTGTGTCCCTAAGTAACGGTTCTGTGTCCCTAAGTAACGATTCTGTGTCCCTAATACAGAGAGATCTGTCTCTCTTGAATGACCAGAGGCAAATGGAGAATTGTAAGATGGCCGCAATTTATAGCTCCACCATTACACAGTGCTGGCTGGCTGGCTGCTGATTGGCTAATGCGATCACATGTCATGAATGAATGCATTATGGGTCAGCGCGCCTTGTCTGCGCGCCTTCCCAGAGATCCCTGCTCCGTCGCCCGCACATGTCGCCGCCATTTTTGGAAAAAATTTCGATTCGCGCATCCGAAGTCTGCTAATTTTCGGATTCGGCGCGAATCGAAATTTTTCTAATATTCGAAACGAATTCCACTTCGCCGAGTTCGATTCGCTCATCTCTCTACTGAAGACATTTCATAGTTTCTCAAAGCCACTTCTTCTTCTTTTAATTCTGTCAGAAAAGTTACCTCAACATTTATAGTATATTCACACACGGAACAGTTATATCAATCCAATCACCATGGAACAACTCTACACTGGCTATGACACCACTTCATACCTTTAGTCAGGAGATTTGAAGGATGGACACCTATGCAGACTTCCTGACACCAAGGATGGAATTATACAACTAGAACAGGTTGATTGGTTCCACAACTTTCTTACTTCCCATCCTGTTTTTGGATGATCAACATCTACCTTGACACATTCCATCGTGATTGGATTAAGATGTCTGTCATAAATCCAGGGTTATGTTCCTGATACTCATTAGAACTGTAGAAGTGGCTTGGATATAAACTACTGAACATCTTCAACATTCTTTCACATTGCTTAAATGTGACTAACTACTCCTAGCTCTCCCATGACCTGGGTACATGAGAACCTGCAGAGAGGGTGTTATAAGCCAGATTTGATATTGATTGTTCCTTTGCTGCAAGCAAAAGAAGTAAATTGTTAAATGGTTATATTAAGAGATTTTAAAAGTTCCTCTTTTTTAAAAAGCTGATTTTTAATTAAACCAGAGTTGTTTAACATTTTTGCTTTAGAATCCAATAAATTTATCATTATCTTTCAAGAAAAAGAGGAAAGCTCAGAAATCACATCTGATGGTGGAATAATTATGTGGAACGTTGCCTGTAAGATCACGTCCTCATCATTAATTGAGATGTTTGAAGATCACAGACACACCAAACATCAAAACGTCTAAACAAATTAAAACTATATAGTCTTTGGAGAGGTCTTGTTGGCCTATAACATATTCCTGGAGCCTTAGCAAGCCCTGAAAATGAAATCCTTACAGGGCAGAGACTCCCAGTCGTAAGAGGTAAGGACTTCAGAGAGTCACCTACCTTAAGAAGTTAGAGCTTCAAAGTCTTTTTTCTACTGTGAAAGGCTGCCATGAGATTTCTAAACTCAAGAAGAAAAATAATATATTGCAGCTTATCAATTTTTTTTTCTCTTTTCAGGCACCTATCCCTTTATTTTCACCTGGTGATTTTGACAATAACACGCTTCTTGACCTAAGCAAATACAACCCACGCACCAAAGGCCACTGGGCTAAAACCTAACTTTTATTAGGATTTAAGCAAATCATTTTTCCAAAGACTGCATGTATATTATAACACTCAAAAGGTAAGAGGGCTCTGAAAGGGCTCTCAGCAAGTCTGATAGGTGATATTGGCTCTTATTCAGTGGTGTATCTCTGCCCACTACCATTATACATTGCGACCGAGATATGGACCACAAGGGTTACACAGTTGTAGCACTACCCCTTTAGGAGTTGCTAGAAGATTTGGGGTCTCCCTATAGTCCTGCACAGCCAGGCAATACACATCTTCACACAGGCTTGCATCCAGAGTCAGAGATCAGTCCTTGAACTTTGGTTTTGTTGTTTTTATTTAGGGGATTTGAACTGGGATAGGGTTAGGGTGTGTACAAGATGCTCAAGGAAACTGCTGAACAGAGGACAACTTCCTGGAACTATTTACAAGCCTGCACTGCAGCACAGTCATCAGCTTCACATCTTCCTCACTGTCTTCCACCAAAACCCTCCTGCAACAGAGCAGGCTCCAAACTTTTAAGGGTGCCCCAGCTCCTTTCCAGGTCTTCTGTTGGGGATTGGCTAGGATCCCACAAGGGTGCAAGCCAGGCACTCCTCAGGTCCACCAACTGCCTCTAGGCCTTCCTCCAAAGGCCTAGAGCAGGGGGAAATTCCAAAGGGGCTGACCTGCAGAGCCTCCAAGCTCCTGATCACAACTTAATCTTCTGGATATCACGCCTAGGCTGCTATGCATCCCTCCTCTCTATCCATCAGGACTCCAGCTCCCCCTAGCTAACTAGGAGGTTGCTACATACCGTATTTTTTGCTCTATAAGACGCACTTTTTTCCCCCCAAAAAAGGGGGGAAAATGTCAGTGCATCTTATGGAGCGGCCGGTCCGTGTCAGAATACAGGGCCGGCCACTCAGCTCTGCAGCGGGACTTCTGTAATGTGGGCGCTTGGCTTGACAGCTGGGTGCCCAGTGCGCATGTGCGAGCAGCGGTGTGCTTTGTGAATGGTAAGGCGGCACCTGGGACACATGACAGGTCCCAGAAGCCGCCGGACCAATCACAAAGCGCAGCGCTTCTCGCTCATGCGCACTGGGCACCCGGCTGTCAAGCCGAGCGCCCACATTACAGAAGCTGGGAAGACAGCGCGGCGCTGGATAGAGGAACAGGTAAGGTCCCACTGCAGAGCGGACACTAACCAAAGAACAACTCCGCGGAAGTAAGAGCAGGTACCTGTCAAATTCAGGTACCCGCTACCCCCCCTCCCCAAAGGTCAGCAGTCATCTCCTGTACTGTCCGCAGTCTCTGGTCATCTCCTGTGCTGTCTGCAGTCTCTGGTCATCTCCAGTGCTGTGTCCGCAGTCTCTGGTCATCTCCTGTACTGTGTCCGCAGTCTTTGGTCATCTCCTGTGCTGTCCACAGTCTCTGGTCATCTCCTGTGCTGTGTCCGCAGTCTCTGACCATCTCCTGTACTATGTTCGCAGTCTCTGGTCATCTCCTGTACTGTGTCCGCAGTCTCTGGTCATCTCCTGTACTATGTCCGCAGTCTCTGGTCATCTCCTGTACTGTGTCCGCAGTCTCTGGTCATCTCCTGTACTATGTCCACAGTCTCTGGTCATCTCCTGTACTGTGTCCGCAGTCTCTGGTCATCTCCTGTACTGTGTCTGCAGTCCATTGGTTTAGAATATTTTTTTTCCTGTTTTCTGCCTCTAAAACCTAGGTGCGTCTTATGGTCAAGTGAGTCTTATGGAGCAAAAAATACGGTAGTTATGCCCTTAAAGACTACTCAGGGCTTTGGCTCTATACTCTCAGGTACAGTGGATACTGAAGGGCTTTTCTAAGCTGCCTGATGCCCAGCACACCAACTGTCTCAGCCACTGACCACATTTTCACTAGTTGCTTAATTAGCTTACAGACCAGGTTCAAAGCCAACTTCCTATGAGAGACATGAAGTCCCCTGTCCCTCCTCAAAAAAAAACATGTGCTCCCAAAATCAAAAGCATAATACATTACTGATTAAACAAAAAAAAATAAAGAACCCAACATGTTTTGCTTTCAAGAAAGGAAAGCTTTGTCAGGGGTGCAAAGTGTAGACATGGGCAATTCACTTCGTTACGAATCGAAATTAGGACAAAATTTACGTTATTCAGAGATTCAGATGCATCCAATTTTCCGAATCACAATAGTAATGAATTTCATAGAATGCAAAGTAAATTATATTGAAAAGAACTAATTCATTCATATTCATTTGTTTCATTCATTAGCGACTTCAGAGGGTTCTGTAAATTAAAAAGGTCTAGCAATAAGCCTACGTTCACACTGACAAGGTACAATTTCAATCCTTTCCAGTGCAATTTCAAGGGGCAGTTGTCCTGTGAGTTGATACAGTTCACATACGATTTTGCGAGTTTACTAATGCGGCTCATCCCTGCTGTCAGCCAGCAGGGATGAATCATCTGTTGTTAAGGAGCCGGCAACCACTGGTTTCCTAACAATGATGATTCCCCCCTGACAGCAGAATGGAAACACAAGAGGTATTGAAAAAAATGGCATAGGGGTCCCCCACTGGTCCACACTAGGCCCTTAAGTTTGGTATGGATTTTAAGGGGAACTCCACTCCAAAAAAATGGAATGTCCCACCCCAATCTATACCAGACCCCAGCATGCAGCCCAGAAGGCCATCAAAGGGGGGTTAAGTGAGCCCCCCTCCTGAACAAACACCAGGCCACATGCTCTCAACATGAGGCAGGGGGGCACTTTGTCCATGTTGATGATGACAAGGGTCTCTTCCCCACAACCCTGGCCCAGTGGATGTGGGGGTGCTTATTGAAATCTAAAAGCCTCTTATTAGAATAAGGCCCCCAGATCCCACCCCTCCTATATGAATGAGTATGGGGTAAATAGTATCCCTACTCATTCACAAAAAAAAATAAAAAAAAAAACACAAGTCCTTTTGCTGTGGCTCCTTTTCACAGAAAACAATCAGAAAACAAGAAAACCTGCATGCCTCTTGTTTTGATGCATATGCAATGTATTTAGCTAAAAAATTATTTCGGTATGAATGCATTGTTCCACCTAGGACCAATGTAGCTATGTATATATCATACCTGGCCAAGTCCCCTGGAAATTGGAAATCACTGAGGTAAACACTGCTACTCCACTGATTTCCACTTGTTTCCGGCTCTCATGCTAAGTGGCTACCTTGTTGCATTCATGATGCATTCTGATGTCATTGCTCCGCCTCGCCAATCAAAAAACACTTTGCATTTAGTCAGAGAAAGGATTTCCTCTATCCAGTGATTTCCAACTTCCATGGTCATTGGCCAGGTATGGTATATACATAAAATAAAAAAAAAGTTTACCAAAGTCAGAACTTCAGGAGGCATCTGTTACTGAATGGGGTCCTTTCTCATCTAATGGAGTGCTCCTGATTGTAGGAGGATCCCGTTCTGGCATTATGTCCAGCAGTACTGAGGAGCGATCTATAGAGGTTCCCTGTGATTGGGTTGTAGGCTATTGATCATTGACCTTCTGGTGAGTGCATTGGGGTGGAGGACCTTACACTGTACATGAGCTCATTGGATTGAGCACTTTTGGAATGATTATTGAAGCTTCTTATAGATCTTTTTTTTATTAAATAGCTAATTTATTATTATTTATTTTTACATTTCATTTATGGACACTTTGTTCAACATGTAGATATTTTTAAGGTAATAATCCTCTCTGATTTTTCACATGGAAATGCTGCTCTCATCTCCACCTTAAACTGTCTAATTGCTACGCACTGACTTTCTGCAAAACTCAGGATAATTAGTCTATATCTTTTTGTCTGTTTGTGGTGATTGATTCTCACCTTTTTGCTTCTCTGTGATCAGAGAATCAATCATCTTTTATGACTTTGACCTGTGTTTGTGGCTCGTCTAGCTTTGACCAATCTCCCCCCAATTCATGTGTTCCTTCTCAATTCCTAATTGGGACAGAGAAGGATTGCTCATTTGACCATCTCCCTATAAATTTAGACCAGCTAATGAGGGAGGTCACAGACGAGGGGTACAATCACAGATGGGGCATTTTCCTGTGTGAGTGCATTTTCCCCCCCCTCTACTCCTCCTTTTCGTATTAGTATCCTCTGTTCTCAAAATCTCATTTCTTTACCCTCTGCTCCACCCTAAAAAGCTTATACATATCACCCTCACTGCTACCATCTCTCTACTACTCAGCTCTCATCAACTCCTGCTATTACTTTACTCACTGCTGACCCAACCACCAGGACAGGAAGGCATGTGCACTCATATACATCCCACTCCCATCTCACTTTCCTCACCTCCTTCTCCTAACCTCTGGGGATATCTCCCCGAATCCTGGTCGTCTAAGTATCCACCCCTTATGCCAGGCACCCTACTTCCTCCAGGGAACATAGCCACAATCCATTCAATATAATCTCAATCCCCATTGCTACCTAAAAAACCACCCTCCCTTTTGCATGTGCAGCTCTGGAATGTCCGCTCTGTCCTTTTAATAGCTCACCTTTTCTAGTCCATGTCATTTTTCTCTCCATGCCATCTAAACCTACTAACCAATTACAGTAAACCTGGCATTCAAGCATCAGATTGCTGTCTTCTCTGACAGCACTTTTACCATGGAGGCCTCCTCTGGACTCACTCTATCCCTGACCCAGTGGTCCAGAATGGAGGTTGAAGTTGGTGATTGATTTATAATTCGAATATTAAACAATGATTCTTTATCCCCCACTGAGCACCATTCATAAGTGTTCCTACGTTTAACCCTCTCTCTCTTAAGACCTTCTCTTTTTTCGAGACTCACTGACATTTAGATCTATTTTCTCACCACTGTCTATGGAAGGATTGCAGTGGAATCTATTGGCCTTCTAGACTGGTTGTCACGCTTAGCTTGATGACTTCTCTGCCTGTGTCTACCTTCACTTTCTCCTTCTCTGAAATACCCACTTATCTTTCTTGGTGATTTTTTTTTAGCATCCACTATTTACAGAGTGAACTATCATCCCAATCTCTTTCAACACTAACCTCATCTTTTGCCTTTAACCACAATTTGGACATAGTCCTCTACTCACTCTGGAAGGGGATTGCTATTAGACCTTGTTTATCGTCCATCTTTGCATTGTCCCTTACAACCTCACCCCTCACAAACACCCCCTATCCCTCGTCTCTGATCACGCAGTTCTCATCACCTTCACAGTATCCACATCTTCCAAACACATATCCCTCCAAGCCAGCAAACAAATACCCAGCTAGAACGACAACCTTTACACAACTTTAAACCCTTCTCTTTTCTACTCTGCAAGCCTGACCGCCGTGTGGCGTAATATAAAACCAAATCCCAGCAAAGCCATTCACCTCGATATATATAAATTCTGCTTTCTTAACATACAATTTCTTCCCTCATGGCTGACCAAACATGCTACTTTGCTCATTTATTTTAATAATTTGTCAATCCAGTCCTCCTCGTGTATTCTGTTCTTTTAACTCTCTACTTTCTCTACCTCCACTCAACCCAAGTAACTCAACTACACTTGCTTATGGAGATTGCCAATCAATTTCAAAAACCAGATTGATGAAATTCGTAATGGTCATCTCCGCTATCACAGGACATCTATCCCAACTTAGCATGCCATTCTACTAAACATCCTCCTCATCATCTCTCACTCTTTTGACCATGCTACCTACTGAAGAGGTCACCTAAGGTTTTTCAGTAGCCATCTCACCACCGAGACCCCTGAATCCTGTTCATATCCACACTACTACGGTCACCCTTTTTCTTCTTATCACTTATGCTCTCTCAATCACATTTCAATCTTCCTTTCTACTGGCACACTTTCCCATCCCCTCTAAAAGCCACGGCTCAGATCACTCCCATACTTAAAAAGGACTCACTGGAACCCACGGGACATGAACAACTTAAGAGACCCATATCCTTTCCTCCCGTTTTTTTTTACCTCTACAATTATGTAGAACACTAAGAGATTTTAGTCTTACAATTCGCACTGAGCTCCCACCTCACTGGACAACAACCTTCTCTGACCCTTTACACAGTTGGGATTTCGCTCACTTACACTCCACTGAAATCTGCCCTACTTAATAAACTCTCACTAATGATTTACTAGCTGCTAAAACCAATGTACCATACTCCATACTCTTTACTACTTGACCTCTCTTGGTGGCTTTTGATTATCTGTTGATCATACCCTCTCCTAAAAAAAATTTCATTTCTCGTTGCCTCCAAAGGACTATATCTCCTCTGGCTCTACTCTACCTATCAAAAGGTGCTCTTCTTCAGTGTTTTACTATAAGTCTGTACTCTCCTTCTCCATTACTCTTTCTGTAGATGGTCCCTCAAGGTTCTGTCCTAGGACCCCTTCTCTTCTCAATCTACACCTCTCTCCTTGAGTACATGATAAAACGTCCCATGGCTTTTAAGTACCATCTCTATGCTGGATGACACACAAATCTTTCCTACTCCACACCTCTCCCTGTCAGTCTCTTATCACGCATTACTGTAAGTGACTATTTCAGACGCATGGATTGTCACTCCACTTACTCAAACATAAATCTTATGTAAAACGGGATGCTCATACTATACCTCCAGCCCCGTGCCCCCTGCCCTGACTTTCATCCTTCAAGATTCAATAATACAACCATCTAGTCCCTCCCCTCATGCCAGGAGGTACTAGGTGTAATTTTTTCCTAGACTACCAATCTGTCCATTCAGCCCCACAAATTTCAATCTCTGTCCAATCTTGTAGTCTTCACCTCTGTAACATCTCCAAGATTATGCCCCGTTCCTAACTCGGAAACTCACTAGATAGAAAACATATCCACTCCCTTGTATATATCTCGACTTGACTATTGTAACTTCCCCCCCATTGGCCTAACCTTTATATAGCAGGTTATCCCCTCTATTCAGTCTATCATGCATGACTGCTGCAGACTCATCCACTTTACCAAACGCTATCACATATCTGACCATCCCTCTCTACCAAATCACTCCACTGGACTTCCCATTGGCGCCGAACAAATTATAAAATTCAAACTTTTAACCAATACACATATAAAGCCATTTATAACTCTATACCCCAAATTACATCAACGATATCTTGTCTACCAAATACTTAAACTCAAATCATCCCCTCCGCTCCTCACTCAATCTCCTGATCTCTATCTCCCTTGGTCTTCTCCTCACATTCTCATCTGCCAGGGGAATCTTATTAGAGCGGTCCTACATCCTCTTGCAACTCTCTACCCCATTAATATCTGACTATCGACATTCTACTCTGTCCACTTTCTAGGCGAAATCTGAAAAACCTATCTTTTCAGGGTATGCCTATCCTGTCTTCCGCTAATACCTGACTCTTCTATTTCTCCTATCAGTTCACACCCCACAGTTATTAACTTTCCCCTGTGTACCACAGCATCTCTCCTCCTAGATTGTAAGCTCCAAGAATACAGGGCTCATAGACTACTACTTCTATTGAACTGTAATCGTTGCAGTATTGTTGTACCTGTTATATTTTAAAGCCACTGTGCTAAAACTGCTATATAAATCCTGTATTATAATAATAATAATATTAAATATAAAATAAAAAATTATATATATATTTGATGTTGTATTTTGTTTATGTTGCGCGCACCTAATTTGATATACTTATTTATTATAATATATATATATATATATATATTAACATATTATATATTATAAATTATATATACAACTCACAGTACACACACTACACCACTATATTGCCAAAAAAAAATTTTTGGGGACACCCCTTCAAATCATTGGATTCAGGTGTTCCAATCACTCCTCCATGGCCACTGGTGTATATAATCAGGGCACACCTAGGGCATGCAGACTCAAAACCATGCAGAGACTAGCTTATTATGAACTTTACATATACAAGAATCTTCTTGGTAGCATGTGTCATATAACTTGATTTCATTTTATTGTTAGCTGTTAAACAGCGAGACGAACCATATGGAAAATAAAAAACGCTAAATTTTTAGCCTCCTTGGCGGTCATGATTCTTTCCGATTTTTTGTGCTGAAGCTCTGATTGGGTACCATTTTATTGCTGGAAATATGTCGTCTTTTTTATTGTAGGCTGTAATTTTTAGGATACTAACTCACTGATATATCTGTGACGAACAAGAGGTCCAGATAACATCCCGGTAGTGTATGGATAAAACTTGAAAAACACGAAATTCAATTAAATTATATTTAACTAAATGAATCACTAAAAAATTAATAATATAATAATCATAAATCTTTAAATTCTAATAACTATAATCAAACCAAAAACACTGGAGAATTTGAAATTACAGAGGCCAAATTCGCACATCGATGAACAAAGTCTCAATATCGTTTTCAAGTTGGTATGATGACGAATTTTCCCCTCAAAAATCATTATACATCAATTCTGCAAGAGTTGGTTCTCGCATTCCCTCACTCCATCGCTGTCCCTATATACACGCTATAATTCGGACGAAACGGCGACGCCTTTTTGGTCAGCCACCATAGGACTTTTCTAAGTCACTTCCCAGGCAGCAGATAAGAACAGTCAAACATGCAGGGCAGGGCGCCGGACAAAGCAGTAGGTACAAGAATGTAATGTGAAATGCATTGAAAACACGCAATGACAGCATAAATTGACATTTTCTTAAAAATTTCAAATTTCCCGCCGGTTCTGGCGGCAGTACGTTCCCGACGTCACTGGGACCGGAACACGGAAAGCCGGATGCCGGCATCGGCATGCCCGGAGTGAGATGGACATACGGGGACGCTTGCAGGAGGACACAGCGCAGGGCATGCGAAGGAATCATGGTAAAGTGCTGCAGGGACCCCGGAGAACGCCGCACATCGGTAAGCCCGAGTGTAGCTCGGTGAGTTTACCGCTCTTGGTACTGAAATTTTACCCCGAGCTACACTCGGGAATTCACCGAGCTATGGAGGTTAAAGAGAGCTAATTCCTAGGCTGAGAGCATGCTTCTCCAAGACTTGGACTGGGAGGGAATATTGGGCATCGATGAATACCAACACAGAAATAGGGAGTTCTTCAAAATGGCTGTATAGTGTACACACTGCAAAAATATTATTCCCATGGGCAAACTAGTTTAAAAGGCTCTAAAAGATCTATATCCTTATGTGGCTTAACGGAATAAGTTTTAAAAAAGCTATAAATAATATGAAAAGAGCTTTTATCAAATATAAAAATGAAGGAAGGAATGCTGTCATCGTATTAGATACATGACAAAGAATATAACAGAATACGCAAAAAATGGATATATAGGCCGGCAAAAATTGTAAACGAAACGACAGAATGTTAAAAGATTAGCAGGGACCAACCCCAAAAAAATTCTTCAAGTATATTAATAGTAAAAAAAGGTCCGTGCATTGTAGGCCCTTTACAAAAATAATCTCTAGAGTGGGGTGACTGGGGACAAAGAGAAGGGCATATTTATTAAATGACACTTCTTTCTGCTCGTTGTGTATACAAAGGTGCATGGGGAGGAGCTATTGTCCATAATGAGGCATGGTTACTGACACAGACCCAAATTGTCCTACATTTGGCTCCTCACAATTGATATGATCCAAATATATTTTATACAGAATAAAATGTGAATAAATGGACCTTGCACCGGGGATTGGCATACATCACCACGGGTCCTTAAAGAATTGAGCTACTGTTCAATTTCAAAGCCATTGTTTCTCCATTTTTAGGGGACTCCTTTTAATGACTGGCATAGTAACACTGGAATTGGCGTGATAAAGCACAGTTGTGGTGCCAATTATTAAAAATGGGGTCAGATATCTTTTACCAAGTAATTATAGATACTGTTAGTTTTAACTTCTATAATTGGGAAGATACTGGAGAAGTTTAATATAAGGACCTCATAGATGTGTTCTTACTGGTAAAAAATATTATAGCAACAGACCAGCATGGATTCAATTGAAAAGAAGAAGTTGTCAAACTAATTATGATTTCTTTTTATGAGGGAGTGTGAGCAAAACCCTTGGTAGAGGGGGTGGTCTGTGGAAATTGGATTATACTTGGACAGGAGGGGTGGTGATGGAGCGTTGGCTATACTTGGACAAGAGTGAGGTGGGCGGTGACGTTGGTATACTTGGGGGGGGGGTGGAAATAATTCACAGAGGGGTGTGTGATGGATGTTGGCTATAATTGGGTCAGAGGGGTGGAGGTGGATGTGGTATACTTGGACAGAGGGTTGGTGATGGACGCGGTATACATGGACAGGAGGGGTGGCGGTGGACATGGTGTATACATTGGGGACAGAGGGGAGGTTGGCGGTGGATGAGGGTATACTTGGAAGAGGGTGGTGGCACAGGTGGAAATGTGGGTATACTTGGATAGAGGCGGTGGCAGTGGATATTGATATACTTAGGATAGAGAGGTGGTCGGTTGACGTTGGTAATCTTGGACAGAGGGGTGGTGGCTGTGGTGCATGGTATAACTTGGACAGAGGGGTGGCGGGGGTGGACTTGGTCAAGTGGTTAAGGACTTTGGATTTAGCAAGGGGTGGAGTGAATTGTGGTTTGACACAGTTCCGTACTCACATGCTAATGTGCAGGGTCAGGTAAAGTCTATGGCTTGGAAGAGGTTGGCGTGGAATGTGTATACGTAGAGGTATGTATAATGGATAGAGAGGTGGAAAAACTGGCTGTGGGCATGGTAAAAGATGGTATTCAGAGAGTTACTGGTCAGGTAATGATTGGAAACATCATGTAAATGGATCTGAATGGTATTGCAGAGATACTGGTCGTTTCATACTCCAAGGTGGTCGTCAGTGTGTACCCCCAAGGTTCAGTGTTGGGACCCCTTACTTCTGATATATTTATAAACAATATAGGGTCTGGGATTTATAAATCCCATTTCAGTCTTTGCAGATGACACCGAGCTGTGCCGTGGAATAACGTTCCTTACAGGATGTCTTCCAACTTACAAGCCGACCCCAATACCTCCCATGTTTAATTGGGCAACTATGTGGCAAATGAAGGTTTAATGTTGATAAAATGTAAGGTTCTGCACTTGGGGCTGAAGAATATGCAAGTATTCAATACATACTGGGGGGGGTACAACTGGAGGAATCAATGGTGGAGAAGGATCTGGAGTTTCTGGTAGATCACAAGCTTAATAATGGCATGCAATGCCATTGCCCAAGCTGCAGTTTCTAAAGCGAGCAAAATCTACTGTCTTGTATTATAAGAGGTATACGACTCCAGATTGAGATGAGATATCATTCCCCGGTACAAATCATTAGTATAAGATTTCATCTGGAATATGCAGTTTAATTTTGGGCACCAATTCAGAAAAAATTGCTTAAAAAAAGTCCATTATTATTTATTAGATACACAGAATATAAACTGGATATAAAACATTTATAGGTTAAAGTTGATCCAGGGAATATCCACATTGCCTCCGGGGGATTCAGGAAGGAATTTTTTTTCCCTGCAGGAGCAAATTGGATCATGTTTTGCGTGGGTTTTTTTGCTGACCTTCCTCTGGATCAACTGTGGGCAGTGGTGTCCCGTAGTCAGGTGAGGGGGGTTGGGATGACCTCAACGGGTGACACGTACCGCACGGGGTGACACTCCGACCTGCTCCACGAAAAGAATAAGTTGTAAAGCAAGCCGACGATCCCCGCAGGATGGATCGGATCTGCGGATTGGAAAGCATAATGGATCGGAGTCCAATCCATTTATGCTCAATCTTGCAGATCCGATCCATTCTGCTGGGATCATCGGGTGGGGTGTCATGGCCAAGTGTTATCGCACCGGGTTTGAAAGTTGAACAGGGGTGCGACTTTTGTATTTTTTCAGCCAGACTAACTACACCCTGTTCAAATTATTATGCAAATGATATTTTTTCTCTATTTGCCCTAAATAATTGATGTAAATAAGAGTCAAGCATAATTCTCATGTTATCAACTATTATTGAGGTACAATTCACATTTTAGTGATAACAAGACCTCACTAAGTGGATAACAGGTTTTTGTTCCAAGTTATTCCGCACAGTAAGTTTCAAAACACTCCTATAAGTTGTAAAGAACTGAAAATTGTCATTTGTTGTGTTTGCAAAAGCATAAACATTTTACTGAAATCAAAAGCTATTTTAATCAAACTTTTAACAACATTTTTAACTTTTTTTGAACGATTTTTGTACAGGTCACGTTACATTTGTAACATAGGAAGCCCTTAATCTGATAGCAGCTTCACAAGATGTTTGCATCCATTGGAATTGTGAGTTTTTTGGACAGTTTCTGCTTGAATTTGTTTTTGCAAGATGTCAGAATAGCCTCCAGAGCTGCTGTTTGGATGTAAAACTGCCTCCCATCCCTCTGATAGATCTTTTGCTTGAGCGATGCTCCAAAGGTCTCAATAGGATTGAGATCAGGGGAGCGATGGAGGCCACACCATGACTTTCTCTCCTTTTATCCCCAGAGCAGCCATTGATGCAGAGGTATTCTTGCAGCATGCAGATGGTGCATTTTGTCATGCATGAAGATGGGTTTATTACGGAAAGATAGTTTCTTCATCCTTGCTGTACCAGGGAAGAAAGTGGTCAGTCATAAACTCCACATACTTTGCAGAGGTCATCTATTTACACCTTTGGGGACCCTAAAGGGCCGACCAGATCTGTACGCCCATGATTCCGGCCCAAAAGGATGACTCACACCTCTGCCTTGCTGACAGCGCAGCCTTGTTGGAACAGGGAAGTGGCCGTCCACCAACCATCACTACTCCATCTATATGGACCATCCAGGGTTGCATGGGTACTCATCAGTGAACAGGATATGTTGAAAAATTAGTCTTCATGTATTTTTCTGACCCAATTGGGGCAGCGTTTCTGCTTGTGAGCATTTGGTTAGTGGTGGCCGGATAGAGGTTTAAGCACAGTTGCAAGACTCTGGAGGACTCTACAACCTTGATGTCCGTGGGACTCCAGAGGCACCAGCAGCTTCAAATATCTGTTTGCTGCTATGTAATGGTATTTTAGCAGCTGCTCTCTTGATCCGATGCATGGATCTGGCAGAAATCTTCCTCAATGTGCCTTTATCTGCACCAACCCGTCTGTGCTCTGAAATCAGCCACAAATCTCTTAATAGTGCGATGATCACGCTTACGTTTTTTGTGAAATATCTAATGTTTTCATTACCTCGTCCAAGGCACTGAACTATTTCACTCTTTTCAGCAGCAGAGAGATCCTTTTTCTTCCCCATATTGCTTGAAAATGGTGCTCTGCTTAATAAATGTGGAACACCCTCCTTTAGTAGTTTTTCCTTAAATTGGGCTCACCTGACAATCTAATTTTCACAGGTGTCCGAGATTAGTTTTTCAGTGATCAAAAGAGCCCTGACACACAATGCCATCCATGAGTTACACTGAAAAACAAAATATTTCATCTTTGTGACACTTAAATAGAATTTGCATAATAATTTGGAACAGGGTGTATATAAGATGTAGAATATAAGCTATATACAAAGCCCATATTAAGTAATGGACATGAACTCCAAAAGGAGATGTGAAGTATCAGACCAATAAACAATAACAGAACCCATCAACAAGCTCAGTATTCGTCCCATCATCTCACAGTGGCTGGAATGTCGGCAAAGTATAAACAACACATTGGATCAATATATTCACCGCTATGTGAAATGGTAGAGATGAAGAGAAAAGAGCTCATAGTGAAAGTAGCACATTGCATTAGCTCTTAGTGTCGCATGGGCAGTCGAGTGCACTTTGTGAAGGATATGTAACAGGGAGAGAATTTGAAGTCAGGTACGTGATTTTTGGAGCAGGCGCTGGATTAAGACAAGTTTGTTTTGACTCAAACTTTCTTTTTTTTCTGGGAAAATAAACACAAATGCAATTCCATAGTTTTAGAAACATACGTGTCGTTTTATTAAAGGTTTAACTTATTCTGTAAAGTGCAGTTTTTGTTCAAGTCAGCCCATATGGAAGAAAAATGTATTTGAAAAATATATTTTAAAAATATTCTTCCCAAATATAATTTGCCATATACAGTTGCAAGAAAAAGTATGTGAACCCCTTGGGATTACGTGGAGTTTTGCATGAATTGGGCGTAAAATGTAGCTCTGAACAGAGTCATCTAAGTCACAACAATAGAAGAGACACAGTCTGCTGAACATAATACTACACAAATATTAGATGTTGCCATGGTTTTAATTGCACATAGCATGTAAATATTCACAGTGCAGGAGAGGAAAAAAGTATGTGAGGCCCTAGCTTAATGACTTCTCCCCAAAGCTAATGGGAGCCAGGAGTGAGCCAACCTTGACTCCAATCAGTGTGATGATGTAGGATGTGGTTTGCTGACAGCTGTCCTGCCCTTAAAAAAAACACACACCTGTTTTGGGTTTACTGGTTTCAAGAAGCACTGTCTGATGTGAACCATGCCTCGCAGAAAAGAACTCTCAGAAGACCTACGATCAAGAATTGTTGACTTGCATGAAGCTGGAAAGGGTTACAAAAGTATCTTCAAAAGCCTTGATGTTCACATGTCCACGGTAAGACAGACTGTCTACAAATGGAGAAAGTTTAGCACTGTTGCTACTCTCCCTGCGGAGGGAGCATCATGGTTTGGGGCTGCTTTGCTGCCTCAGGGCCTGGACGGATTGTTGTCATTGATGGGAAAATGAATTCCAGAGTTTATCAAGACATTTTGCAGGAAAACGTACGACCATCTGTCCGCCAACTGAGGCTGACCGCAGAGGATGGGTGATGCAACAGGACAATGACCCAAAGCATAACAAGTAATTCAACAAAACAATGGCTGCAACAGCACAGAATACGCCTTCTGGAGTGGCCCAGTCACAGTCCTGACCTCAACCCGATTGAAATGCTGTGGCATGACCTTAAAGAGAGCGATTCACACCAGACATCCCAAGAATATTGCTACCACTGAAACAGTTTTGTGAAGAGGAGTGGTCCAAAATTACTCCAGATCGTTGTGCAGGTCTGATCTGAAAACTACAGGAAACGTTTGGTTGAGGTTATTGCTGCCAAAGGAGGGTCAACCAGTTATTAAGTCCAAAGGTTCACATACTTTTTCCTTCCTGCACTGTGAATGTTTACATGTTATGTGCAATTAAACCATGGCAACATCTAATGTTTGTGTAGTATTATGTTCAGCAGACTGTGTTCTTCTATTGTTGTGACTTAGATGACGTTCAGAGCACATTTTATGCCCAATTCATGCAAAACTCCACTTAAATCCCAAGGGGTTCACATACTTTTTCATGCGACTGTATTTGAAATCCTACAATTTTTTTTGGCCATAATCAATATATATATATATATACACTGCATGTTGAAATGCATTTTTATTACAAGATATATGAAAAATATATTTAAAAATATTGACACTATGATGCAGCGCTAAATATACAGCTGGCTGGTGGATATAACCACCCTATATATTGGATAATAGTAAGTAACATATAAACCATACGATACATTTTTCTATATATGGTGTTAGATCTAATCGGATCTGATTCGGTGATACACAAGTGATAATCAGTGCAGAGTAAGAGGTTCTATAGAACCTGTATAGGTGGTATACATTTCCTTCCCGTCTAGGGATTGATTATAGCAGAAATGAACGTGATTACAACCACAGTGAATCCCTATACAGGGATAAAAACTACCACATAGGTGATACGTGCTATGACCCGTATTAAAACAAACCACATTATCACATGAAAGTCCATATGAAACTTTCAAAACTGCTGCAAGGTCACTCCAGCCATGCGTTTTCATGCGTGCGCCTGTGCTTGGTGAGAAAGTGAAGTGAGAATCCTACACAGCAGGCATGCACGCTCATCTTCCCACTGCAACCCGCTAGGGCCACAATCGCTTTTAGATCACCCTGGATCCTGCTCGGAATCTCCGGGTGGGACACCGAATCAGATCCGATTAGATCTAACACCATATATATAGAAAATTGTATCGTATGGTTTATATGTTACTTACTATTATCCAATATATAGGGTGGTTATATCCACCAGCCAGTTGTATATTTAGCGCTGCATCATAGTGTCAATATTGTTTATATCCATCTTGAGGGGATGTTTGGATGCTAGCTGCTCCCGTATAGACTTGTATAGCAGCGCAGGAGGACCCCCAATTATAATATTTATATAAGAATGTATTTAAAAATATATATATTTTTAAAAACATGTTTTTTTGAATATATTCTTCAGATTTTTTTTAACATATAAAAAAGTATTATTTGTAAATGCTTTCCAAAAATGTAGATTTGTATTTTTAAAGACATACAGTATATATGAAAATGTATTTTTAAAAATATTTTTCATATATTTTGTAATTAAAATGCATTTCAACATGCAGTATATGAACATATACTGTATTTATTGAAATATGGCCAAAATTGTAGCATTTCAAAATATATGGCAATATATTTGGGAAGAATATTTTTTAAATATGTTTCAAATATATTTTTCTCCATGTGGGAGGCATCAAAGCTTTGGACTGACAAGAACAAATGTACGGCACGCCCTAGCTGAAGCAAGTGGCTGAACCCTCCAGCTGGGGCCCTACAATGAATGAGTCACCCTGGTGCTCAACGCAGTCCTGGTGCCCCATACACATTCTAGGAGGGGTCTAGACCCTTTTTGCTCCATCCCCCAATGCACATACATGCCAATTCCCCACATGCTTGGAGCACACTCTCATGCAGAACCTTGCAGTTTATGAAGATTGCATGTTAGGGCTTTGTAGGTGAATGCCTAAGGCCCATGAGACAAAGAAGCCAAGGCCACCTGGAGTGTAATACATCTAGGGAAGTCTTCACATAACCAGGAGGGTGACCACTTTTCCTAAGCACCACCAGCTCCTAGGCTGATCAGGTTTGCACTTTACTTGCCTTTCCCTTGGCTATGCATTGCAATCTCTTACCCCCAAAGGAGTTGCTGGATGTATTGGGTCCCCTGTTCTTGTGCCCATGACACCACAAGCACCACACACACACACTGATGTACCTAGCTAAGTGGGATATACAGTTGCGGGAGGAAAAAGTATTTTGTGAAACCTTTGGACTTAATAACTGGTTGACCCTCCTTTTGGCAGCAATAACCTCAACCAAACGTTTCCTGTAGTTGCAGATCAGACCTGCACAACGATCTGGAGTAATTTTGGACCACTCCTCTTCACAAAACTGTTTCAGTGTAGCAATATTCTTGGGTCGCGATGTCTGGTGTGAATCGCTCTCTTAAGGTTCATGCCACAGCATTTCAATCTGGTTGAGGTCAGGGACTGTGACTGGGCCACTCCAGAAGGCGTTTTCTGTGCTGTTGCAGCCATTGTTTTGTTGAATTACTTTGTATGCTTTGTTTTTTTTGGGTCATTGTCCTGTTGCATCAACCCATCCTCTGTGGAGCTTCAGTTGGCAGACAGATGGTCAACGTACGTTTTCCTGCAAATCGTCTTGATAAACTCTGGAATTAATTTTCCCATCAAATGAACAACATCCATCCAGGCCCTGAGGCAGCAAAGCAGCCCCAAACCATGATGCTTCCTCCGCCATGTTTTACAGTGGGGATGAGGTTTTGATGTTGGTGTGCTGTGCCTTTTTTTCTCCACACATAGTGTTGTGTTGTTCTTCCCAAACAACTCAATCTTGGTTTCATCTGTCCACAGTATATTTTGCCAGTAGTGCTGTGGAACATCCAGGTGCTCTTTTGCAAACGTCAAACGTGCTGCAATATTCTTTTTGGACAGCAATGGCTTCCTCCGTGGTGTCCTCCCATGTACTCCAATTCTTGTTTAACGTTTTCTCCTTATTGTAGATGTGTCCACAAAAATGTTAGCATGTGCCAGAGATTTCTGTAGGTCTTTAGCTGACACTCTGGGATTCTTCTTACCTCATGCAGCATTCTGCGCTGTGCTCTTGCAGTCATTTTTACAGGACGACCACGCCTAGGGAGAGTAGCAACAGTGCTAAACTTTCTCCATTTGTAGACAGTCTGTCTTACCGTGGACACATGAACATCAAGGCTTTTGGAGATTACTTTTTGTAACCCTTTCCAGCTTCATGCAAGTCAACAATTCTTGATCGTAGGTCTTCTGAGAGCTCTTTTCTGCGAAGGCATGGTTCACATCAGACAGTGCTTCTTGAAACCAGTAAACCAAAAACAGGTGTGTGTTTTTTAAGGGCAGGACAGCTGTCAGCAACACATCC